TTCTTCCTCCGGGCGGTCTGGGAAGGAGCAAGAGGCTGCTGGGGGGGAGGCGGGTGGAGAGACACAGGGGATAAAGGCCATCCCACATTGAAGAGGGCCCCCCCTTTTTAAGGCTATGCCTACGATGCACTAGAAGTGGCAAGCCAGAGAGCCTTATGGGACGGTGAAGACGGCCAGCTGCCCTCCATGAAAACAGGCACAAGGGGCCAACCCAGATCCCCACCTCCTCCTGCGAGACATTTCTCCAAACTGGCAGCCTGTGAGAAGCCTTTCCAACTTGCTAGGCTTGCATTCAAAGGACAAATCTAGGGCCACGATGGGGTCAAGTGGAAGGTAGTTCCTCAGGAAACGACAGCCTGCAGACCAGTCCCTGAAGCAGAGGCTTTTTGCCACACAGAACCAGCCAACGCAGCAAAGAGTCCGGCTGGTGGCTTCACTGTCGGAAGAGAAATGGCAAGGGGGGGGGGAAGCTTTGGTCAGGTTGAAGCCACCAAATTCATCAGGTGCACAAGGAAGGAGCCAGACAGGTGGGTCCCCTTCACAGCCAAAAGGCAAGGGCGGCTCCCACCGCTGGAGGTTCCCACCATCCTTCACACCTTGATCTTGATCTCTTGCTTGCCTTGCATTGATGAAAAAGCCTGGCTTCTCGCCCAAACAAAGGTGTCTGATGGGTGCCTTCTGTCTGCCTTATAGCTCCCTGTATTTTTGCACACACAGCGATTAACCCTCACCCCGGTGCTGCAGCAGCCCTAGGCATACGAACCCTGGACTACAACCCTTTGAACTCATGGAGGTTTACTTCTGAGTAGACACTGAGAGTTTTGAATGCACCCTGTTGCAGTCTCTCTCCCTCTGTGCCAACCGCAGCATTTTACATACCCTTCACGGCTGTGTTCATTCCTGCTCTCCACCCCCCACCCCACCCCCAGCACCACCACTTTCCTCTACATTAAGCAGCTTCTTGATTAATTATAGATTGCAGGAGAAGCTTTTACTGCATTGGAGTTTACTTCTGACACTGCCCCTATTTATTTTTTAAAAGTAATTACAAACCGGGCATAAAAGCTACGGCTTAATAATGGGGGCTTGATACGTGACAGGGTCAGAGATGTCTTATTAATGTTGATTAGGAAGCCCCAAGAAAGGGCTGCAAGGCTGGTGGGGGGGGGGCAGAAAACACAGGAGGAGGAGGAGGAGGAGGAAGAGGAGATGGTGGCCACCTTCAGCCCAACGGAGAGCTCCACCTAGCGTGGCTGGAGGATGCTGGGCATTAGAATCCAGAAGGTAACTTTCCCAAATGCTGCTAGATATCTAAATGGTCTGAGACGCTGCTTGGTTTGAACCGCCAGGAGGCTTTCTGCGTCTTCTGTTTTCTGCCCAGGCATGTCCTCCATTGACACATGGCTAAGACTGAGAGAATTCAGGATCAGAGAGCCATTTATAGCCCCAGAACTGCCCAGAGTCTGGCCGCATCCTGAAAGCTAGCAAGATTTATTTGGCGTAAGCCTCCGAGGACTGGGCAGTCTCCATCAGCATAAGTAGGGAGTGGGCTACAGTCAAGAGAAGCGTCTGCCAAATCAATCGTAGCCATGGGAGTTTTTGCGGATTGACGTACCCTTGTGTTAGAGCGGCCACTGACACATCACTGAAAAGAAGAATAAAAGAACTAAAATAAAAGAGCAAAAGAATAATGTTACACACGGTTCCTGTGTATATACAGATGCAAAACTAAGAATGTTTTTTTCTTCTTTTAAACAGCATGGCAAGATTAGGACCCGGTGACTCTCTGTGTGCCTGTTGCGCAATCAGCCCATCAGAGGATGATGGGGATCATGGTTTAGGCACCTGGCTGCACCTTTCATTGTACATTGTGTGTGTGGTGTGTGTGTGTGTGTGTGTGGGGGCGTGTGTGTGTGTGTGTGTGTATCTCTCTGTGTGTGTGTGTGTGTGAGAGAGAGAGAG